TAGCGGACGTACCCGGCTTCGCCCGAGGTTTTACCCGAGTAAAGGTTTGTCTAACGAACATTTGCCCGTGTTTTACCCGAGTAAAGGTTTGTCTAACGAATCTCTCGATAAAGTGAACATTTTTTCCCGGTCCCTTGAAAAATACTCGATAAGTTGAATAAATTCAATATTAATCGGTACCCGAGTAAAGGTCTGTCTAACGAACATTTGTTAAAACAATTCTCTATAGACTTATAAAAAGAAATAGATATATTTTGATAATTTGAAACTGATAAAGTGATCATTTTTTCCCGGTCCCTGTGTGCCGTGTCATTCTGAATTTTGTCTTTCCTAATTTTCTACATTACAAAATCATCGTTTTATCTAGTGAACATTTTTTCCCGGTCCCTTGAAAAATACTCGATAAGGTTGAATAAATTCATGGTCGTTTATGGAAGATGGACGAAGTTCCCGGAGGTCATCTTGGGCAAGCTCCCGCGAGGCTTTTTTTCTTGTCTACTTGGCATAGCTGTGTCACCAACTCTGCCCTGATTGGTCGGTGGGTACTTTGACTGTCGGCCGGCGGCCTGGCGAATCCATTCTCGCACGGGGTCTGCCCCACTCCAAACTTTTGGCAAAGCACTTTCTAATTAAAGATTATTGTCTTAAATAATCTTTAAGAACAAAAAGTATAATAATTGAACGATAGGAAATTATAGTAAATAATTATACTAAACTAAATGATGTAAAAATAATTATACATGAAATTTGAAATAAGTTTTAGAAAAGTTATCGTTAAGTCCACGGGAAAAGATGTAGCCAAAACAAATAGGTTTTTAACAGTGACACGTGAGCACCCGCCTCGAGACGCGCTCCTCTCTCCTAACATTACTCCCCCTCTTGAAAAAGCCTATCTCCGTCTCAATGGTGGCGCTGCTTGCGAGTTATAAAGCTACAAATCTGCAAATAACTCTAAGGATATTAAAGATATTCAAGATATTATTTTTCGTAAACCTTTCCGGAGATACACCTAATAATATCCCAATATTTCACGGCGATTGGATGTATGGTTTTCGAATCCATAGAGGACACACAGACATTCAATTTTATATATATATAGATATATCTTGATTGGTTATTGGAGCGAGAGAGGACCTAGAGCGAGACTGCGGATCACGACCTACGAGGAAGACCACGAATAAATAAACACAATAACTTTGAAAGGTAATTTATTTTTATTTACTTTTACTTTTATTTATTTGCTTTGAATATGGAAACCCGCTCAGGAAACGTGTATAACACCAAGAAGGAAGAAACCAAGGTCGACGACCCTGCAAAGCTGCAACTTGGTGTAACAATATAGGGCCTTCCTCTCTGCATCAAGGGCTGTACAATTAAGAAGGTAATGAGGGAGTTCTTCAGTAATTTCATTGTCACACAGTGTACATATTAAGTTTTTGGCCTCAAACGTCAGAACGTAATTTTTTTATAGACTGTACATAGTATTCTCGATTGGGCTATACATCGTTTGACTGGTAAAGGGAAATCATCGGTTAGGTAGCATTCTATTTCTATTGACGTATGGAAATTTGTATAATGTGGATAAAGTTTTGAATTTCTTATTCTTGATTGGTCTTCTTGCATCGATTGATCTGACATTGTCCTAATTATCAAAGAATATAACTTTGCAATATATTGTGACCGCGCATCCAATAAGCCATGAGATACCTACTCCATTTCAATTTAAACCCACTTGACTGAGAAAGCTCAAATACCATTTCCAAACCCTCAATGTTTCATATAAAAGCAGAAAGATTCAATACAGTATTAGAGCTCTAAAGAAGCGGTCTGGTAGATTAAATTGGCGAAACCGCTGAGAGGGTTCACCACTGATGAGCCAAGCCCTCTCAATATATTTTTTCATCGCAGTAAGGGCAGTAAAAGTTTGATTTATTTTTGAAAAGAAACATTCGCGTTTTGATGTTTTCATTTGTAATATAATAGATCTGAGTCGGAGTTTTTACTAGCTTGAGATAATTTTTGCTATCTCAGCATATATAATGGTCAAAGTTGGATAAATAGATTGCAGAAATACATGGAACATATTTTTTAAAGAATATTAATATTGAGCAAAAAGACGCTCAAATGGCGTATTTTGATTTCTATCAATCCAACTAATCAGTTGAGCCAGTTCATATCACGTGATATTTATCTAACTTTTGGCTGGCTGACTGATGGTGTATCAAAAATTGGTGACCAAGAAGGAAAAATCAACGTCGGTTGGGTCTGTTCAGCTGACAAGGAGATTGTGGCTCTCATCAGTAGAGAGGCGACACCAGAGTTAACATCTGAGATTGATACAAGAGTTGAAATTTCTTCGGTATGAATGTCAGGTGATAATAAGAATTCTTACTTGCATTTTTCAAAATATTGGTATTTAAATTCGCAATATACAGTTTATATATTATAATGTATTTTTATTACTTCTTTCTTCCTTCTAAATTTGCGTCAGTATTTTCTCGCTACCATTTAATATATAATTATATCAAAATATATAGCATAATTGCTTATTATCTTTTCTAATTTTCAATGAAATATTTTTATCCATTATCGTCCTTATTATATATTTTTATTGCTTCGGTGATTATTTTGTTGAAAATGAGATTATTTCATTTATCATACACAAACCACAAAGAGAGAATTAATTGCTTTGTTTTTTGTTGTCAATCGGACCTTTTTCCATGGTCAAATTTCAATAAGAATATTTCGATATTTCAATATGAATCATTTTCATTAAAATTACTATGATAAGGATTTTAAAAAATCATTTTTGCTTTATGTAAATATTTAAAATATTAGTTAGTTTGTAATTTATATTATTTTTATATTATATACCTCTAACATCCAGAAATCTGAAAATTTTACAACTTGTATTCTTAGCTATATTGAGCGAGTATACAAAATTTCAAATTCATATATTGTCTGGAGGTATATTAAAATTGATCACCAAATTTGAAAATAAATATATAAATTAGAATTAGTCTATTGTCGACTACCCAAAATCATAAATTTTGTCAACTTGCAATGTCATCGGGTTTTAGCAAGTGTACCAAATTTTATGCTTCTAAGTGCTATGTATATTAAAAATTGATTTTAAAATTTGTGGACAGACAGACATTGAAGCAGCTTAAATAAAAACTTCTAAAAACTACTATTCATACAGTTGATTCTTTTAAAACAATAATTTTTCTTTTTATTTTGAATGTAAGAGTGTTTTTAGGCAAGCTGTTCAGAATATTGGAAGAAAGACTATTGTTAAGAATGCGAGTTATGCGGAGATCCAAGTTAGAGGAATCTCATTATATTCTTCATTGTTTCAGACTTCAGGGGAAGAGACAAAAATAAGAAGCTTCACGTGCCTATCAACCTATCTAACACAAACAAGTCAAGGATTTACAAATTTCTTTCGGATTCAATGGCCGATGAGAACTTGATATATTTGTTCACCAGTTATACAGTTCAGCAGAAGAGCTGAGAATATCCTTAAAAATAAAAGCGAAGATGACTAGAAGATACGCAGTATTTGCTATGTCTTTCCACTAAGACAGCATATAGTTTCCTTAGCGATACTTTCTTCCAATGTTTGGATTTTTCATTTCTTGGACTCCGGGACAAGTCTATGCTAGATGAAATATCTTAATGAATGGCTTTTTGCTGTTTTTGTTAGGTAGAAGCAGTTTTAGGCTTGTTAGAATCAAGTAAAAATTTCCAATTTCCAAAAGATCGAATATTGTGATCAAAAGATTTACAAATCAGTTAGCAGTCATTATATCGTCTAATCAACACAATCCACATCTATGTCACATTAGTAACTCGCCTACTTTGCACCATATCACCCAATAATGTAAACTATCATACTTTGTCCCATAACGTCCAACAACAGTAACTTTATAATTTTGTCTCAAAACTCCCAACAATGATAAATTTGTCCCATAACGTCCAACAATGATAACTTTGAGACTTTTTCCAATAACGCCCAACAATGGTAACTTTCCTACCATGTCTCATAAAGCCCAACAATGGAACTTTTATAACTTTGTCCCATAACGCCCAATAATGGTAACTTTCAGACTTTGTTCCATAACGCCCAACAATGGAACTTTCCGACTTTGTACCAAAACGCCCAAAAATGGTAACTTTCCTACTTGGTCGCACAACGCCCAACAATGATAATTTTCTTTATTTATTCCATAACATTTTAAGAATCTATCTTTCGAATTTGCCCCATAATACCTAACAATAGTATCTTTCCGACCTAAGACCTGTGTGTCTTAATAAAGGCTTTTGTGTGTGTGTGTATCTTTCAGACCTCTTTCTCTATCTTGTCCTAAAAACGCCATAGTATCGTACATATTATAGTATGAAATGTACGATACTATGGAATTTTTGGGACAAAGTCGGAAAGTTATACACTTGTATAAAACCACTCCCTTGACAGTCCCAGACTCATCCATCCTGAAAGAGATCTGGCTAGACCATCCATGTCAATTAAATGTAGTTTAGCCAGAGTTCTTCTTTCTTCATACTTATTTATGAGATATTTAAAATCAATTCGAAATGGCGGTGGCTAATTACACCAACTATTGATTGCTTATCGATCAAAGAGTAGTAAATTGTTTTGATGGGATAAGATAACTACTGGTGTGTTCCCACAGCATAGAGGTGAGAGAATTGTATGTATTATTATGTTTATTACTAGAGGATATATCAACTATTGTCATATCTGACATTTCTGTGAGACTGACAAGCTTCTGTAAAAAGAGGAAGGATTTGTGAATTGACCAGAATAATTTGTTTGAAATTGAGTTTTGGGCTTTATTGGTTGTCAAAAATTTTCGGTAAGATTATTCCGGGTATAAACGTTGTCCCCTGACTTATCTACTTATATAATTGCCTTATTCTGTCTGTGTGAAGTTCACTGTGTGAAGTTCACGGATAGATTTTGGTCAGAATGGATAAAATAAAAAAAGTGTCAAAACGAACCCACGACCTTCCGCTTACCGGGCAGATGCCATGACCACTAGGCCACATGACCACAATTTATAATTGTAACAAATAGTATTTGAATCAAAACATTCAATCGGGTAAAACACGGGCGTTGCCCGGGTCATTCGGCTAGTAATCTAATAAAATCATTAAAAAATCCAGGGCTAAGTTTCTTGTACAATTTTATTTCTATAGCTTTCGGGCTAACATGCCATTATTTTAGTGGCTTCTGTTGAAGGGCATGTTAGCCCGAATTTAGCCCTGTGGATACTTTGTTGATTTTATTAATTGTAAGATAGTAAGTAGATATACAACAACAACAACAACAAAAAAGCCTTTATTTAGGGTCACTGACCCTATACAGGATTCACCAGAGGTATGCATAAGAACAAAGCAGTGAGACAACGGAAATAGCGATATATACAGAGTAAAAAGAGAAAGAAAAAAAAAACAAGAAAAGGAGAAAAAAAAAAATAATAAGAAAGAGGGAAGCAAGAAATCAACACAAAAAGAGTAGCAGTAAGAAAGTGAGGAGTGAGTATCACTTGGCCTTCTTCTGAGATATGGACTTGTGGAAACCATAAAACGCCGTAGCAATATACTTATTCTGGGTCATATTGTCAATTATTGATGGAAGTGAAGCACAGAGTTGCCCAGTTTTGAGCATAAGGGTTCTTCTTTCTTCTTTCAGAGCAGAGCAATCAAAAATATAGTGAGTGATTTCATTTTGTAGTTTTGAATTACAGAAGGTACAAGTCGGGTCCTCACCGCAGAGCATCTTGGTGTGGTTTTCTCTAAAAAAACTTGAAAGTATTCTAACTTGTGCGAGTAGTCTTACAACCGGGAAAGGAAAATCCCCTAAAAGGTATCCCTCCGTCATGAAAGATATGTGAATGTCTTTGTAGTGAGAGTATAGCTTAGATTTATCCATTCTTGTAAGGTCGTTTTGTATAGATTGGTCTGCCGCTGTTTTTAAGAGCCCTGTAATCGCGCTCCTCAGCGTTTCAGGGTCATCACAGGAAACAAGTGCAGGGGATCCATTATCGTTAAGCAGATTAGTGAGCTTTTTAATGAAACCGATGGGTGTGCCCGAAGCATTAGAGAGTTCCCGTGTTCTATTAAAACATATACGTGGCAATCTGTCACTGCTCATATTCAACACCCGCAGCCAATACTTCAGGGTTAATTTTAAGGCTGTTACACTCAATGAGATACGACCGGTTTCTAATCTGATTAGGTAACCTGGAGTGTATCTGGGCAGATTCAGGAACCTACGGATAAATATGTCTTGTATATTGTCCAGTAAGTCTTTATGCTCTGTTGCCCATAATGGAGCGGCATACATCAGGACAGCTCTCACTATTGTATCAAAGAGTTTGATTGATAAATTTATTGACTTTGCTTTTGATTTTATTAATATTGGGTGTGTGGCGTTAATTGCTGTAAGTGCTTTTCCTTTAAAGTAATTTGCCGGGTGAGTAGTTGTTATTGTTGGTGTCAGAGGGAATCCCAAGTATGTATATCTTGAAGTTATTGCTATGGGTTTATCATTCCAGAACCATCTATCCTTATTTGAGGGTTTACCTCCATTACGGAACACCATAATCTTTGACTTGGACTCATTTAGTGTCATTAAGTTCTCATCGAGATATTCTTTCAGTATTTTGATCTTCTTTTGGAGGTTTATCCTGGACTCACCTATAATTGCTATGTCGTCGGCGTACAGCAATAAATGGATATCTCCAAATTCTGGCAAATTTACACTCGGCAGGTCTGAGTTATTATAAATTTCGATTAAGTCCGTGATAAATAATATAAATAGCAGTGGGGAAAGTGGTTCTCCCTGGAGGACTCCCGAGTTTATCTTAATACTTTCCGTAAATGATCCCTTCCATCTGATAGCTATAATTGCTTGTTCGTAGTAACTTTTGATCGTACTTATGAATTGGTAACTTATGCCTAGGTTGTAAAGTTTTTTCCAAAGTAGTGAGTGGGGTACAGTATCAAATGCCTTCCTTAGATCGACAAAAAAGACATATAGTTTTCCCCTCTTTTTTCTTAATGATAGTTGGATTAAAGTAGTTAGTGTAAATATGTGGTCAATACATGATCTTTCTTTTCTAAATCCCGCTTGGTTTTCGGGTATAACCCTTCTTCCTTCGACCCATTCCTCCAGTCGTGATCTTAGGATTGATGTGAAAAGCTTTGATACATTGCTAATCAGTGCAATACCTCGGTAGTTGGAGGGGCTGTTCTTATAACCGTTTTTAAAGATTGGGTGTATAGTGGAATTAGTCCAAATTGCTGGGTATTTTCCAGTCGTCATAACACTATTGTAGAGTTGTTTCAACAGCAGTATGTACGAATCAGGGAGTGTTTTTAATACTTCATTGGGGATGCCATCGGGCCCGCATGCCTTGTTACTCCTCAAAGCAGCTATCTCCTTGTATATGTCTGCATTGGTTATCTCTGAGTCCAATATAGGATCGTTCTGAGAAATCACATTATGTAAATTACAAATTCTCAAATTTTTCTCTGTAGTCATTAGTTCGCGGTAAAAGTTCAGCCAGTCCTGTATAGATATTTCTCCTTGGATTATAGATGTGCTTTTGTAGAGCGCAATAGTTTTCCAGAAGGTCTTTGAGTCTTTAGCATTTCTGAGTATTTCCTGTTTTTCATTATCAAAGCCTTTCCTTTTTAGATCCAATAAAGCAAGATATTTCTTTCTGGAAGAAGCATAACATTCTCTGTCTTCCAATCTATTTGTTTTACGATATTTCTTCAGACTTTCTTTTGCCAGTTTTTTCATATCATAGCAGTCCTTATCGAACCACGGCTTAGATTTCCTGGGGCCGCCCTTAATTGAGTAGGTTATTTTTGCAGATGACATTGCTTCCAAAATTCGCTGATTGAAAGTGTATACAAGGTCATCGGAGGCTGGTATGTTTTTTTCCCGCAATTCTTCCAGTTTCATTTTAAACGTTGCGAGTCCATCGGCTGACCATCTATATCTCGTAATATTATAATCTTCCCGTTTGGTTTTTTTCTCATTGAAGTTTTGGCCTTTTATCGTTAAAACCAAAGGATGGTGGTCTGAGTACAGTTGGTCATCGACTTTGAAGTCCAGTAAAATTTGTAGTGAACCCTGTGAGAGTATGCAATAGTCAATAGTTGAAGAGCCTCTTTCGGATATGTATGTAAAATCTCCATCTTTATCACCTCTAGATCTTCCATTAACTATTGTCAAAGAATTATCTTCCAGGAAATCAAGAAGTTTATTAGACAGAGATGATATTATATGATCTTTAGCCCTTCTTTCCGATGTTAGGGGGAGCTGGAAATTAAGTGGATTGTGTAGTCCTCCCAACTTCCCAGTTCTGATGTTTAAATCTCCAAGTAAAATAATTTCTTTTCCATCTGCTATTTGCTTTTGAATGTATGTAAACAGCTTATCTAAGTTATGCAGCTGTATTTGGTTTGGAGGAAGGTATACAAATATTAAACAGATAACATGTTGGGGGGCTCTTGTGTTTGTTGATAAGATAATAGATAACCAAGTGCCATCCTTTTCAGAACTCTCTACTCTATATTTCCCGCCTTCCCTAAAACCGACAATTATACCCCCTGACCCTCTTCCCCTTCCAGATTCTTTGGTGGCAGGTAATTCGATAATTTGATAATCTTTTAGTGTTATGTTAGTCCTGTTCAGGCACCATGTTTCAAGTAGAGCAAAAATTTCGTAGTTCTTTATGTGCTCGAGGAGTGGAAATATCGAAAGAATCCCATAGAAACCATTTATATTCCAACATATTATTTTTTCGGCGATGTCTCGCGAATTTTCAGAAAAATTTGCATTGTCATCGTCTTGAGAATCATATTTACATGTATTTATGTCGTAGTAACTTTCCGTTATTTGATTATGGGGCGGAGAATTAATTTGTGATTTTGATGTCGTATTTCTTCTATTTACACAATTGTTTCTACAAGGTTTTTGCTATATAGCAACTCCTGTGCTATCAACAACTTGGCCATTCATCACTTTACAGACTTTATCATTTACCAAAAGCTTGTTATCTCTCAACTTCGATTTTATTCCCCTTTCACCCAATTCTTTCCTTTTTGCAATTAGGATGCGCCGTTGCTCTCTAACATTTTTACTATAATCTTTACTTATCGAAATTTTAGTATCTCTGAGTTTGTAGGCATTTTTAAATATTTTTGCTCTATCAGCATAATCAGGCACCACAACAAGAACTGGTGCATTGGATCCGCGTGAAAGTCGGTGACATTTTGTTATTTTTAAATCATCTCCGATTTCCATTTTATCTCTAATTATGTTTTGAATCTTTAAGTTGCAATCTGCCTGATTTTCGTCACCCTCCCTCTCAATACCATAGAACACTAGATTGGGCTCACGCAGTCTCGTCTCAAAAAATTCGACTCTAGCCTCCAGTTCATTTACCTTTAACGAATTACATGAAGCCAGTTTTTCGGTAGCCTGTTGAGACTCTATACATTTGGTTAGCTTCTCCTCTATATTGCAGAATCGCTTATCCCAATCGTCCATTCGAGTCTCTATTTTGGTAAGTCTGATGTCAATTCTCTCTCCTAGACTCTTTATTTCCGTCGCCATGTTCAAGATTAGCATTTTTAGCTCGCCATCTATTGATTCTCTCTCTCCTGAGTGTACTGACGCAGTCAAAGTAGTTTGCTTTTTGGTTGGGGGGCCTGGGTTTTGTTCAATGCCTGAGATAAATAATAGAGCCAGAATGATACATAGCAGTCTTTTTTGGTTACCAGATATATTCCCAGATGGTAAGTTTATATTTAGGCCACATTGTCTATCATTATCCCTTCGTACTGAGTTTTTTGCATAGTGCGTTACCTTGAGTAAATTTGCATATTTATTGTTGCATAACACGAGTACTAAGAGTGACAGTATTATCCCTTTCATAGTATAAGGCAAATATACACTGAAATATTAGTAATATAAACTATATTTACCGGAGCGGTGCTGCACGTGTTGTTTATTGTCCGGCCACCTAGCGG